TTTAGAATTGCTTTACGTTACTTGGATAGGCCTTATGTATGCTTGCTTGTTGGGTTGAAGATCCCGAAAGTGACTACTTCAAGAAGCATCTTGCTCGAGTCCATGATTTCATTTGGTTAGGGGAAGATGGTATGAAAATCCAGGTAATGTTTTCTGAACAAAAGATTCTCCGTAGAAAGATATGTTCTCGGGAGGGTTCAACAACGACCTATGGTTGTTGTGCAGTCTATCGGTAGCCAGTTATGGGATACTGCTTTGTCACTTCAGGCCTTGCTAGCAGCTGATCTTATTCATGAGATCGGGCAGACGCTAGTTAAGGGATACGAATTCGTGAAAAAATCTCAGGTTTGTATCGTTGGTTTCGAGATATTGTAGTTGTATAACATTCCCATGTGCAAGTATGTGTGAGTTGTACATATATGTATTTGTCAGGTTACAGAGAATCCTCCTAATGACCGTAGAAGAATGTCTCGTTACTTATCAAAGGGGGCATGGACATTTTCGGACAAAGATCATGGATGGCCGGTTTCGGATTGTACTGCTGAAAGTTTAGAGGTAGAGATTTCGATTTCAAAAATATCTGAAACAGTATCCGCTTCAATAAGAATGAAACGGAACGCACTGATAAATGTTTGCCAGTATTGCCTAGTCTTTTCAACAATGTCGTCCGAACTGATTGATGAGAAAATGGAAGTAGAAAAGCTGCATGATGCAGTCAATTTTCTCCTCTCCATGCAGGTGAATTAAGCTTAAGCTTATACAATACTTAGGCTTAAATAATCAGTATATTCAAAAAGATTTTTAGATTTCATGAAATCAATTTCACCAATTTTTTTACCCTTTCTGAAACATTTCAGAGCAATAATGGAGGCGTAGCAGTTTGGGAGCCAGCTCTTGGAAAACAATGGTTGGAGGTACCGTTTTGTTTCATCATTTCTTTTAATAAATGGTACAATATCGTCTCACGGACTTTCGCGCTTTACCCAGCGGCTGAACCCGGTGGAGTTTGCGGAAGACGTGGTCGTGGAGCACGAGTATTGCATATCATCACTCCCTTTTTCTTTTTGCCGTGACCGATTACTAAACTTAGACGACTATCTAAATGGATAAAACCAACCTTGGAATCCTGCAGGTATGCAGAATGCACGGCATCAGCAATAGTAGCGTTGGTTTCGTTCAAAAAACTGTTTCCGGGGCATAGAAAGAAAGAGGTCGAGAAGTTCCTTGCAAAAGCTGTAAATTATGTGGAGAACAAGCAAATGCCAGATGGTTCATGGTACGCCGTCACTCCATTGGATATAAATATAGAACAAATGCTTTTTTCTGTTTGATTTATACAGAACATATAGTAAGAACCCTAGATTGAAATTTATATATTATGATAATAATGCCCTTATACTCATCTAATATTAGCCAAAAAGAATATTTTTTGAAATGGGTCATAGACAGGTACGGAAACTGGGGAGTGTGTTTCTGCTACGGCACCTGGTATGCGGTACGAAGCCTTGTAGCCGCAGGGAAGAATTACGAAAACTGTTCAGCTATACGTAAAGCGGTTCGGTTCCTTCTCCGTACTCAGAACACGGATGGTGGTTGGGGTGAAAGCTATCTCTCTTGCCCAAACAAGGTAGCCTTCATTTTTGTTGATTTTGTTAGTTTTTTTTTTTTTTGGAAAATCTCATATGCTCCAACTTTTCAAAATATGCAAAATAAATACCTTTGAAAACATAATACCCAAATATAAAAAATGTATCGAACTAATATATCAATTCCTGAAATTGAGGATAACTCACAAGCTAAAACCTAAATCGATTCCGGAGGCGACTGGTTGCACCGCCGCCACCCGCAAACGGAGCGGTTGCGATTTCTGGCTGTTGCGGGCGATTGAAAAACTGACTGGTTGAACCACAACCAACCCAACCGCAATCAAACTTGTGTTTTCTAATCGCAACTTCCAACTTGCGTTTTGGTAGCGGTTTCCGACGTTTTGACAAAAAAACTAAAATATTTTTATTAGAAATTATATAAAACATTAATATATATATTGGTGATGATTTTTTTTAGTGTTATGATTTGATATTATTTTTTAGTATTATATTTTAATAAAAAAATACAATAGTATAATTTTTAAGTTTAATAATGATTATTTTTAATACTTTTTATAATAAAATTATTTTTTTACTTAAAAATAAATTAAATTGATAATATTTATATTTTAAATTTATTATTTAATTATTATAAATTTAGTAAATAATTTTTATCAAATGATACGAAAAATTTAATTAAAACTATTATAAAAAATTATTTTTAAATAATATTTTTTTTGACAATTTATATCAAAACACAACCGCAACCGTAATGAACCATTCACTTCTAACTGCACCCACCCGCAATCACTACCAACAGCAACTTCTCAACCAGTCAGTACTAATCATTTATAATCGCTATCAAACGTTTTGAAAACGCTGTCCCCCGCAACCGCAACCGCTGCGGTACAACCAGTCGAACCCTCAGGCGTTTTTGAACAAACGCAGTCATGATATTGGTTGGGAATTGATTTCAATTTTAGGAGTTGAGATATTAATTTGAGGCGAAGAATGAATTCAAAACGTAATATAAAAGTAAATTAGATGTACATGAATCCATAATAGAGAAGACCGTGTATATGGCAAAAAAAAATGGATACAAGTCTTCTGAATTGCAAAACTTGATCCATAACACATGAATATAACATAGAAATGTTTTTCGTCAGAAATATACTCGTTTGGAAGGAAACAAGTCCAATGTGGTGAACACAGCACAAGCAATGATGGGTCTAATTCTTGCCGGTCAGGTTAGTGAAAACGAAAAGAAAAAAAGCTTATATATTTATATTTATAAGAGAATATTAGGAAAAAATAATAATACGTAATAATAAAATCAAATATAAATATCACTGTCCTCATTCATATGTTTTTTTTTTTTTTTGGCTGTTTGAGAATGCAGATGGAAAGAGAGCAGACTCATGTTCATAGTGCTGCGAAAATGCTAATCAATTCGCAGATGGAAAACGGCGACTTTCCTCAAGACGTGAGTTATCTGAGCATCAATCAAATTAATGAAAGATACCATGCATGCATGAATCAATACGTTCTTTCTTCTCCTTCCTGATAATTGGGATTGAAACGCAGGAGCTTGCCGGAGTTTTCAAGGTGAATGTGATGCTCCACTTTCCGTCCTACCGAAACATTTTCCCGTTGTGGGCACTCGCGGAATACACCAAACGCCTGAAACTCATGTGAAAGCCATACAAGTACATGTAAAGAGTACAAGGGGCGTTACCAAAAAAAAAAAGAGTACAAGGGTATTATCGTAATTATGTAAGAAACTGCGAATCATGGAATACTTTCTAGTTGCAAATGTAAAAATAGAGATATCAAGTTTATGGAATTTAAGAAATGAAAATGGTTAGGGTCTAGTGAACATTTCATTGCAAATGGAAGCCATAACCTTCCGAATTATTTATTCGGACAGATAATGGACACTCCAAGATCCATTCAAGATATCGAAAATCGTTTGTACGTTCTGCCCAAGAATGTCTTTTGGCAAAACAATTCTCTGCCTTTATTCATTATCTCAATGACTTTTTATAATGCAAACACAAGTTATGATGAAAACAAGAAAATAGAAGTGGGAGATTGCATGTCTTTCAATCGTGGTATTGAGGAAGACTGATTCTTCCTTATTTTAAGCTAACTACTTTGACTTGTTTCAGTCATAATACGAAATGGTTTTCTTTTGACGAACCAGTCGAACCGGTAGGTTTGCATCAGGATCCCATGTGTAAACCTCGGAATGAAGGGGTTCGGGTTTGAGAAAACTAGAAGAATACAATAAAATCCCGGCCAGCATTGGTATGTGGTTTGGCTAAATCACAATATTTGCAAGAAACGAGGGTTCGGCTTCTCTCGTCTCTCATGGAAGCGTAAGATCGGCGATAGAAAACTAGCTTTTGTTCTGGTTCGACAACCGGAAATTCGGGCAGAGATGGTCCAAAATTACATTGAGTTACAACAAATGGCGATCGTTAAGGTCCGACCGTACTCAAGAACTCCATGTTATCTTATTATCTCTATCTCTACCTTCTGATGATAGTATGTGTGGAACCACTCAAAACGATATCTATCGGCCAAATCCTTCAATCATCTCTCAGTGTCCCATGGCATGAATTTCATTGTCCAATGGATGAATCTATGTCTTGAATGGATGAATCAAATCAATAAGAGATCGAAGCCGTAGAATAATAGATCGAAGTCTTGATGCGTTGACCGGTGGCAATCGTAATCGCAATCGCGCCGATTTCGACGTTTCGTATGTAAATGTATAAAAAAATAAAGTTTTCTGATTAATATAATTCGCATTTAGAAAAAGAAAAGAAATGTTAAGTCGGAAAAAAAGGAATCGGTGTGAATGCAGGGTGTGAAAACTATTCGCACGTTAATATATAATTTTTTAATTAAATTAAAGCATGACCATGTGGCCACATCGAGATTGATTTTTATAATTAATTATTTTATAAAATGGGATATTTTTAAAACATTTGTGCGGAGAAACTGGGCGTGGGCAGATTTTCAAAAACAAACTTGAATATGACTGACCAATGGGGAGATCGATTTGATTCTTACATTTAATTATCTTCCTTTTAGAAAATAGGAAATATCTATTTTTAAAATATTTTCTGCGGAGAAAATAATAGCATGGACAGATTTTTAATATTAATTACAATGACAACTATAGTTATATAAAGAAATTAATCAGTAAAAAGGACTAAAATCAATCATTGTTGGATATTTCAATTAATTCTAATCAAATTCGAATTAAATAAGTACGAATTTTATTGAACGAATACAGCTGTCCATCATCCACGTATACACCATATTTATAAAGGCGTTGACCACATCGACTTAATTAAAAATAAAGTAGGACAAAATTTAGCATCTCTATCCATTAATGAAATTTGGTTGAAGATCCAAATACCAAATTCACAATATGTTGCTTTGGGTGATAGGAATCGCAGCGGCTGTTCTACTTCTTTTCAAATTCTGTGTATGGACCATACGAGCATGTATAGCAGGTGAGTTGAGTACGTATGAAGACACGTACATCGTATCTTATACGCTGAAAATACTGCTGCTGTCCGTATATATACGTACACTTGCTGGTTTTCCTGCTTTTTGGTCTGAGGATACACATACGAAAGTGTGAGGAAATTAGGATTCGAAACGCATACTTGTAGATCCATAACTTTGGTTCGAATCACGTTCTGCATGTAGTTGTTTTTGTTAAAATATGGAACTCCTAACAGTTTTAAGCTTAAAATTTTCTGAAATTTCGATTGATACCCTTATTATTTAACAAAAATATGATTTGTTCTTCGGATTTTTTTTTTCCGGTATAGTGCTAAGAATAAGACATGGAAGCTGCACCGTTTCTAGTCAAGAACATTCTTGGATCGGGGATCTGCGAAACGATCTGTTGAGCATATTATACAGAAATGGATTCATCGTCTCACGACCCTTCGAATTCCCCGATCATCCCGGAGACGACGATTCTGAGTAGATTCGAAACCGGACAGCACGAGTTCACGTGTAAAAGAATCAAGAAACTCTGTTCGGGAAAGTTTCTTTTTTTGTAATCGATGCCAAAACCCTAATTTTTGTTGTATTTTGTTTTTTTATAACCAGGATGGTTCCCCGTACCAGAATCAAGAAACTCCAGTTTTTCAATCGCCCGTGATAATCGAAAATTGCAAATGCTCTGTTTGTATGTGGTGGCAGTGCAGCCAATTGCCCCATAAATCATTCACAGAGACTCCTAAACCAAAATCTGAAAGCTTTTTCCATGAGCTGCTGATAGCCCAAATGTTAACAAAACATTAAACCACAAAGACCCACTTTACAATCACTAGGCCAAGATAAAAAAAAGGGTGAACTTTAAAAAAAAAAAAGAAGCATACATACATGATCAAGAGCGGGGAGAAGAGATTCGCATCTTCTTCCACCATGGAGAATAAGATCTAATTAAGAATCTGTTTCTACAGTTCTCTGATCAATCGAGAGAACACCCTTTGGCCTATGGGCGAAATCCAATCAAGAACAATGCAATCCTTAAACGTATAGGTTTCTGCCTTGGACCGACCAAAGCTGCAACACCACACACACATAGGGTTTCATACCGAACTGTTCACTACCCTTTCGGAGGACGGAAATAACTATAGGCTGCAAAGAAGGCTTGGATCACCGTAAGGAGAAGAAGCGTTAATGCAGCGCAAGACGATATGCACGTCCACGGGCTATAGAAATGAGTGAACTTGAACTCCGCCCAGCTTACGTGCCACCCTTTCGAAGTATACTCGTTAATTCCTTCAAACACTTCCAGTAGTCCTAACTCTCTATGATTACGTTTGACATTCCGATGCATTTCAATTCGGATCAGTTTATTTCGGTTCAAATTCAAATCATTTTGATTCAAATGCCGAGACTTCATCCTCCGACCCGAAATAGTTCTCTATGATCCCTCTGTCGGTTAGGAACGTTGCATCGGCCTCGGTGTTTATAAGGCATCCTAAGAAAGCTACGTAACTAGTAATGTGGCTTGTGGTATCTGTATTGAACTGCTCAAATACAACAAAGTTAAGGAGCATTGAGCTGATAAAGTCGTCCACTAGTAATGGAGGTATCTCAAGAACACCGTTATTGTATCTGATGTCCAATAATGTGTCAGCGTTCTTCTTCGGCCTGAATTTTATTCCCCGGAGATGAAGCTTTCTTGCAGATAGAATTAATCTGAGAAAAGGGCGAGCATCCGATGATGTTTCTCCCTTGGAACCGCAGATTCTTTTGAAACAACAGTCTTTTGGAGTTTCTGTTTCAGATTCCTCCTTGGAATCACGAACGATTCTGACACAGCTATGTTCCGGTTTTTTATCTCCAGATGAAAAGGGTATGAAAGTTTTGCGAATCAGATCAAGAAGATGTTTCGCGTCGAGATTGTGATGTCTTGACCAAAACTCTTCTGGTCTTTCGATTGAATATCCAAAGAATACAAAGGCAATCTCATTCAATCCGGTACTTGGTGAAACCAACTTCGATTTCTCGAATAGAGTTTGAAGAAGAAAGAACGGAACCTGGTTTTGCAACAGGAGAAGATCTGTCCGAATAGCGGGCAGAAGCCACGGGATTCTGAAAATCGGATCGTTGATTTCGCTGTACCGAACTTTCCCCGCAACGACCAAGAACAACGTGAGAACGAAGCAACCATCAAGAACCATCATATTGATCAGATTCTCAGTATCAAAATCCGTGAGATTCTCGGAATAAGAACCCCTTATCTGTTCTTCAAGATCTGATACTGAAGCAACCAAATCTTGCCGACTCATACCCTTTTTCCGAGATTTGGATACGAAGAACTCCAAGAACCGATGTTTGTGCTCCTGAATCATCTCGAGCTGTTTCTCTCCGTGGTGGTAAGGACCTATCGAAACGATCTTCGGACGATAAGCCATGTGATTGTTACGGGCGAGGCTGTCGGGAACTCTGAAGATGCAACAAGATGCTTCACCTGCCGATTTCTTCAGAAGCTTTGGAACAACATTTGTCTTCGACAGTAAGTGATGACTGTCTTCAGGTTCTGAATTTGGATTCTGAGTGTTCATCTTTGTTTTTCTCTGTTTTTTTTTTTTTTTTTTTGTCTTTGATAAAATCATCTCTTGATCATTTTACTTATTTCAGATGTGAAGCCGATATTTTGGCGCTGGGTAAGTTCCGAGAGAGAGAGTTAGCCGATAAAAAAAAAAAGATTTTTGTTTTATTCTTAAGATTAATTATATTATAAAGAGAAAATCACATATGAATAATTCAATTTTTTAATATATGCCAAATAAATATCTAAATTTAATTTACAAATAATTATCGTTTGGTGTATGATTCATTTCGTGAGACGGGTATCAGAAAATCGAGCATTCGTTCATATGTGCAATGAGCACAAGTTCGACGATAGTGAGAACTTGATTTTCAAATTCGTTCCGTGATGGTTTTTATTAGAGATATATATACGAATCTGTTATTTAAATCAAAGATTTCGGATTTGTATAAATCTCTAATAGTTTTTTCTAGTACTCTTCCTCCTCTGCCTCTCATCGGTCGAATAATCTGGGAATGCTCGAGTATTTCCTAGTACGATAATCACCCGTTTCAAACTGCAAAATTCGAGATGAGATATTCCAAAATCACGGATACGGTACCCAATGTGACTTGTGGCTACCCAAACCAACGTTGGCGAGTGATCAAGTTTTTTTTTTTTTACGAAAAAGTGGTCAAATTTGGGGTGAAAGATAATTACACCTTTAAAGTTGAGTGTTCGATTCCTGACTAGTACGAGAGAGGTAATTTATGGGTCTATATGATCTATATACAAAGGTTATTCCCAAACCGGAGGTTTATCTAGTCAGCACGTTCGAAAAGTTAGCAGTTAGAGGTACTCCGTTATAAAAAAAAATATGACTTGTGGATAGTGATTTAAGGAAATTTAATAAAAAGGAAAAAAAAAGGAAAGAATCAAAAGAAATTAACATATATTTCGGTTTTTTCTTTTATAAAATCAAATGACATGTTACAGTCTAATCGGATCCCATTTAAAAATTGTCCGTGTAATATTTTTTTCGAAAACTAAATTCATTGAAATCATTCGGATTATAAAATAACAAAATAAAAACAAAATTTGTTCACAAAATTAATATTTTAAATGAAAACGAATAGAAAATCAACATAAAAACTAAACGGATATAATTTGTATACGCCGAGAAGATCTGAACCAAAATATTATCGAAACCAAAAAAGTATATTATCCTCTGATGTAATTTTATTAGTTTCCTCGTACGAACACATTTAATCAGTAGGTATTAATTTTTTTATAGAGATAATTGCATAAAAAAATCACTTTTGAAAAAGTTTTTTTTGGTAAACCATTTTTGAAAAAGTTACATATAAAACCATAAACTTTGTAATTTTTAAATAAAATCATAAACTTTTTGAAAATTGTGATATTTCCACAAAATCTATAAATTCATGATTTTATATAATATTTTAAAATTTCCTAAAATTAATGAATATATATTGGAAATGATAAGATTTTAAAAAGTCTATAATTATATATAAAAATTATAAAATTAGTGATTTTATGCGAAAAGTTTCTTGAATTGTTTTTTAAGAAATTGTCCTTTTTCTATACCGTCAAAAAAAAAAAGTGGATTTTTTTTTTTCACGTGGCCTATGTCCATCGTCCACATATATGCCATATTTCATTTAATGATAAATAAAATAGCAGAATTAATCAATTACCGACACGACCACTCACCAACCCACCAAGGAATTAAAGTTTGGGACAAAACAAAAATATCATCTCTCCATTGAAGCGATTTTTCTTCTTATAATTTTGGTTGAAGATCCATATGCATAGGAACTCGAAGCAAGAACAAGATGCTAATCCTGGTGATAGGAATCGCGACAATCGTACTACTTCTTTCCATACTATGTATTATATGGACCGTACGACAATGTATAAAAGGTACGTATGCAGACGCGTATATCAGTTCTTAGACGCTGCAAATACCGTTGGGTGTATATACTTGTTAGGTCTAAGAGCTCTGTAGCTTCGATGCACTTGCGTGGAACCTAACTTTGATTGGGTTTTGATTCTGGTCGGATTAGTTCAAAAGACTTAACCTTATTTAAAACTAACTAAATTTTTGTTCGGTTCGGTTTTGTTTCACAAGGGTTGTCTTGGTTTTGGATGGTTGATTTGTAAGGTTTGGCGTTTCGCTATTCGGTTCGGTTCTATAAAAATACATACCAGTCAGGTTATTATATAATACTCGGTTCTATTTGATTTTAGTTTTTATTAAAAAATATATATTTTCTTTTGATTTTTTGGGTCTATAAAATTCGGTTCTCTAAAAATACCGTTCCAAAATTTTGGACGGTTTGATTCGGGAATGATACGGATTGTTTTGGTTTGATTTCAAAGAGCCGTACCGAAAGAGTTTGTTGGATGGGAGGAAAAGTTGGTCGAATTTATTTAGTGAAAATAATATGTATATATATATATATATATATAGGTGAAGAAAGGGATGAAAGTAGGCGTGAGAAAGATGAAGAACGAAGCTTAGTGGATGAGGATGAGGAGTCAAGTGCTCAAAAGACTGAGCCCTCCTCCTTCGGATTCAGACCACAAGCTCTCGCATGGAGTGTTGGCGATACCATTACCGATGATAAGAACAGAAAATCTGCAAAGAAGGAGAAACTCCGATGTGGGTACATCGTATCAAGGCCTTTCAGCATGCAAGACTCGCCGGTATCCGACAGTGATTCCGAATCCCAAGGGCCGTGATTTTTTATTTTATTTATTCAATTTATTTGGTTTCTAATCTGGCAAGTGATGTAGATGTCGAACTTCTACTAAGAACAATGTTATGTTTTGAGTCTTATTCTCTCTCTCTCTCTCTCGCTCATGAACGGTTGCTGAATTTGAAATCTCCATCGGAAATTCGCAAATTCGAAACATCAAGATTTAACGAGTTCCTCAACCTCTAAACGAGATTGATTACGCCTCGACGATTCTTTGGAACCGACATTCCACTGTTTTTCGTTAAGATACAAGACTCACACCGTTACAAGATCAAATAAAAGAACTCGTAACCCTATTTCCACCCGAGGCTCTGTTATATAAAACCAAAAACATGAATTCAACATGTGACTAGGGGCGTCAAAACAAACTCAACTCGCGATTTGGCTCATAATCAACTCGTTTGTTAGCGAACCGAACCAATATTTTTAAGACTTCGTTTAAAAATGATTCTAAGGAACCCAGTAAGTAGTGGAGAGTGGTTGAAAGGGTGTTGTCCTCGGGGTCCGGGTCACCAGTTCTAATCCAGCTGATGGGGAGGGAGGGGTGCATTTAGGATGTTGCTCTGGGCCCTTAGATGTACTTTAAAGGCTGTTCCCGGGCCGTGGAAGATGTAGTCGTGCCGAAGGTCCGGTGAATTTCTAGTTATCAATAAAAAAATGATCTTAAGGAGGCAGCTCGCCACAACTCGTGAGCTTGACGAACTATTTTTATATTTCTTAATTATTAAAAAAGATATTTTTATATTTTTATTGTATTTTTATATATTTTATAGAAAATTAATATTTAATTTAATTTTTATTGATTATATATGTATATTCATTTTATATATTTAAGTTTGATATTTTAATATTTAAATTTCATATTAAAATATCATTTTACTTGATATTTTTATAATATAAATAAAAGATATTATATTTATTTCTCATTCACAAATCGTCCTGCGATTGATTGATCTACCATTTTAGTGGCTGCACTCTTGTTTAGCTTCAGAAATTGGTTTAAATTAGACCAAGATTTCTTTGGCTCGTTGGCGATTTGAACTCAAAACAAACCAGATTGCCACGAGTCGAGCAGGCTTGTATGACAAGTGACCAATATCGTCTTAACAAATTTAACAAACCATCAACACGATTAGATTAGATTCCATGGATAGAGATCATTTGATTCCTTCCAAGTTAGCGGCTACAATTCTTGTTGGTTTTACAGCATGTCGCGATTTCTTATTCTCCAGTAAATCTGAACTTGTAAATCCAATTCGTAAATCCGTAGTGTGTCATTTTTTTACGGTTTTTTGCTTTCGGTGAGGGTGAGTGAGGTAAAAAAGGTTGGAATCTAGTGAAATTAAAGCTATATTACTTAATAGTAGTCCTAACTCTCTATGATTACGTTTGACATTCCGATGCATTTCAATTCGGATCAGTTTATTTCGGTTCAAATTCAAATCATTTTGATTCAGGTTAATTTAATTCGATTTGGATCGATTTAGATTCGTTTCGTTTGGGACCGATTCATTCTGATTTTAATTCGATTCGGATTGATTCAAAATTATGAGTCATATAGATATAGACCAGCCGTACCTTTATAAAAAAATAAAAATTGATATAGACCAGCACATCAAATAAATATAAGTCCCTTGCCTCCTTACATGAATTGTAGATTTAATTAAGCCAATCACTAATATTCTATACAAGTACCCCAAACTATTTAAAATATCAGGTTGATTTTTTTTTTTTTTGTAAAAAATTGAATTTTAAATATTGACTAGTATATAATTTATAATAAATAAATATGTTTTTATAAGTTGATGAATTTTTATAAGAAAATTAAAATATAATTTTTTTTACATTTAATAAATATTTATGAGATGACGAAATTTTACATGTAAAATACGATTTTTTTTAAAATAATATTTTTTTTTTGTTTTTGAGATTATCCCTATTGCCTTTTCCAAATTCCAAGGTCTGATTCAAATTGTGAGTAATATTGATATTGACCGGTCCCTGGGCTCCCGACATAAATTGTAGATATAATCAAGCCAACTACTATTATTGAATTCCAAAGACAAATGAATAGTGGTTTCGTCGAATGCAGACCATGCCCATCACCTCTCTCGGACAGTGTACGATATTTTGGCAGCAGTAATTGCATCTTAAATTGTAAGCCTGGAAATGTCACATGATCGACCATTAATGTTCAATACACACACACACAAAATGAGTTTTGTGTGTATATTCAGAAAGAAACAGTTTTTTTTATATGATTTTTCTTTATTTGCATAAAATATTATTAGAGATTATAATCATTATGGATTACGGTATAAATAAAGAAAAATCATATAAAAAAAACTGTTTCTTTCTGAACCGATCCCACACAATGTGTATAACCTTATTTCTATTCTAGGGTTCCAATTTCTTTTCAAAAAAACTGGGCGGATTCAAGCTTTTTTTTTTTTTTTGGTATGAATGTGATTCTAATATTATCATAATAGTGTTTACAAAATCAGTACTTGACTGCAATCAAAACGACAGTCCCCGACCGTAGAACCCATGATAACAAAACATCAAAACATCAATAGCTAATTACAGAAGCATTGCGTTAATCATTCTGACTACATTAAGACTCACAAAGGAAATACCAATCCTGTAATAGAATGTTACTGATGCCATATCGCCCCTTTTGAGTGGAGAGAATGTTGTCGCGAATCAGGTGCTCGATGTGGATCCGCAACTCATGCAGCGTCCTTCTCCTGCCTTCAAAGATTCTAAGATTTCGTTCACGCCAAACCTCATAGACTATCACCTGGGCTATTAGGTGAGCAATTTGGTAGCGGTTGTGGGACATATCACTTTGGCTGATCATCCACGGCGAGCAAACAAGCAGGTCCTCCGGAGGAAGGGGCCAACATCTTGCCGCGTAGTGCTTCCAGAGTGCCGAGGAGAATGGGCAAGCAAAGAAGAGATGAGGATGACTCTCCTGGTCGGCGTTACAAAGAACACATGCGATGTCCACTTGCAATCCCCATCCCCGCAAGCGGTCTTTAGTTGGAAGTCGGTGTGTAATAGCCTGCCATTGTACAACAGAGTATCTAGGTATAGCCAGCTTAAACCAAATAAGATCATACCATAGTACCTTCTGCTTTGGAGTTCTCAGCTGCTTCCATGTGGAAGAGGAGGAGAAGGAAGCTTTGAACTGCCCTCTATGGTCTCTCCACAGATTCAAGTCCTCACCTTTCTCCGGGTGAGGAGGGTCGGTGGTGATGAGTGCCGCTTGTATAGTTTCCAGGCCTGCTCCACGAGCTGGCGGGAGGTTCCAATGGTTTCCAGATGTCGCATCAATGACCTTGGCCGATTTAGGAATATGACCAAGACTCGGCCCACTTCCTCCGGATACCGCTATCAATGGCCCGAGGGACAACCAATGATCATACCGGAACCATGTGTCGCTTCCATTGCCCACCTGCTTCCGATGGAATCCTCTTGCTAACACCTGCAAGTGGATGAGTTTGTTGAAGTTCTAGGATTGGTTGGCAGAAGGCTTGCATTCCCAGAAACATCCATTTTTCAGTAAGTGTTTAACACTCCAAGCATACCAAAGAGACCCTGATTTACATAGTAAGGTCCATATCAGCTTCAGCCTAAAGGTTCTGTTATGTTCTTCAAGCTTACAGATACCCAAACCCCCTTCCGTTCGAGGCAAGCATACAGTGGACCAAGCTATGCGGTGCCCTGTTGATTTATCCGGAGTATTGGATCAGAGAAAGGATGCACACATTGAATCAATGGCCTTGAGAATAAACTTAGGGAGCACAAACATTGAACTCCAAGAATTAACCATCCCGTAGATAACCGTTGAGATTAACTGAACCCTGCCTGCCATAGATAGAAATCTTGTTTTCCAAAGAGTCATTTTACTCTTTATTCTTTCTAGAAGTGGTTGGAAGTCCCTCTTGGTTAGGCGCCTTGAACTTAGCGGTACTCCCAAGTATTTAACTGGTAAGGAGCCCAACGGTAAGCCTGTTGCCGAAGACATAGCGAGGCTGACATTATCAGAGACACCTCCTAGGATTAGTTCTGACTTTGCTCGATTAATCTGTAGGCCACTGGATACACCAAATTCTGTCAGTAGTAGTAAAACTTTATTCACAGATTCAAGATTACCTTTACAATAAACAATGACGTCGTCGGCAAACGTGAGATGAGTGATGAGTGGATCTCGGCATCTATGGTGTGGGTTCAATCTTCCAAGACTCACGGCTTGGTTCAAGGACTGAGATAGGAGTTCCATCGAAAGGATGAATAAATTTGGCGATAGAGGGTCTCCTTGGCGAAGCCCTCTCCGACCCTTAAAAAACCCATGAAGTTCCCCATTTATGGCAATCGAGAACTTTGGGGTTGTGAAACAGAGTTCCAGCCATCTTATAAACCGTGTGGGCAGGTTTATGGTGTGGAGAAGCCTAAGAATCAACCGCCAATCAAGGGAGTCAAATGCTTTCTTAATATCTAACTTCACCATCGCCGTTGGTGTTGCTCCCTGTCTTTCACTAGCTCGGATTATCTCAGTTGCGAGGAGGAAATTTTCGGCCATAAGTATGCCTTTCAAGAAAGCAGCTTGGTTCCTAGAGATCAATTTCTGGAGGATTGGTCTGAATCTTCTTGCCAAGATAGTAGATATAATCTTGTAGAGGGTATTGCAACAACTTATCGGCCTAAAGTCTGAGAGGAACACTGCTCCAGCTTTCTTCGGAACGAGGACTAGAGATGTCGTATTAATCTGACCAAGCAAGGTCCCAGAGATGAAGAACTCCTGTACAGCTCTTATTAGATCCTCGCCTATCGTAGTCCATGCTCCGACAAAGAATTCTTTTGGAAAACCATCGGGGCCGGGTGCCTTGTTGTTAGGAAATGACCAAAGGGTCTGTTGTATCTCCTCTGCAGTAGGTATATCAGTAAGCCCACTGCTGAGTTCAGGTTGGCAACAAAAATATATCAACGACTGGAGCTGATCTAGATTGGGAACCCTGACTGTGAGATCCTTCCTGCCAATAAGGTCTGAATAAAACGAACAGCATAATCATCAATCTCCTG